TTTTCTTCATCTCCGTTACTCATATCTTTTCAAGTACATGAGTGTTCCAATAACAGGGGAAGGAAGGTGTCATTCAGGCCCAAAGCTCACCATTTTTTCTATGGCACTTTCATCAGGAGCCCTCAAATCCATGGTATACCAGAGTCTTATGCTTACAGGGTGTATTAATGAGCTTTCTGTCACTATGACAAAATACCTGAGATAACTTGTAAGGAAGAATGATTTAACTGGATCAAGATTTCAGAAGTTTCAGTCCATGATCTCTTAGTCCCCTCACATTGGGCCAATGATGAGGCCAAACATCATGTTGGGGAGCATGGAGTGAAGCAAAGCTCTTCACATTGTGGTGGTCAGAAAGCGAAAGAGAGGGAGAGAGAAAGGAGCCAGGATTCCATATACCCTTTGAGGGCATGTCCCCACTGACCAACTTCCTTCAACTAGGTCCCACCTCCTAAAATTTCTACCATTTCCCAATAGCCTCACCAGCTGGGCATCAAGCCTTCAACATGAGCCTTTAGGGGACATTCCTGATCCAAACTGTGCTAGTCAGCTTTACATTGCTGTGACCAAGATACCCAACAAGACCAACTCAGAGGAGGAAAAGTCTACTGTGGGCTCATGGTTTCAAAGGTTCAGTCCATGGTTGGCCAACTCTATTGCTGTGGGCCCAAGGGAGGCAGAACACCAAGCCAAAAGGGCAGCAGCTGAAGAGCTCCTTACCTCATAGCGGCTGAGAAGTTGAAAGAGAGAGACACACACAAAAGGGAAAGCGGCCTCAAGGAAGATGAATTCTTCCAGAGCTTGCCCCCAGTGACCCACCTCTTCCAGGCACGTTCCACATGCCTATAGTTACCATCCAGTTAGTCATTCACACTAGGATGGACTGACTACATTACATCTCTCACATTCTAATCATTTCACCTCAGATCATCGCTAAATTGTCTCTTGAGCTTTGGGGGCACACCTCATATCCAAACCATAGCATAAACTATAACACACTGGAATCTATGCCTGTCCTTCAACACCTCTGTAACAAAATCATAGATGTAGACATGTCACATTCATCTCCCTTCAGACTGTGGTGATAAGTAGAACTTTATTTTTTTCATGCAAAGGGATAAGTTGCTCTAGGGAACTGCTTTTAGATTTGCCTGGTCTTATTATAGGGTCCTGATTTAACATCTGAGCAGCCATCTTGAATGTTAACCGCCATCTTATGAGATAAGTTTTGCTTCCCTGTACTTCCTCTTACCCGAACTCCCCCCACCCCCATTAGTGACCTACCCATGGCCTCATAGCCCTAAGCCAATCCCAGAAGGACATGACCCCTTAGCTCTGGAAAGCCCCATGGTGCCACTGACCTAAGCCAATCCCATGCTATTCCCACCAGCCTTGCTTTGACGCCAGCACCCCCAGCCAATCCCATAGTGCCACAGCCACACCTCCAAACCCCCACCACACAAAAGCTGAACACCCAAACATCTTGGGGCCTCTCTCCTGTCTATAGAGGGATGGCCTTTATTTGTCAGCTTTGACAAATAAACCTTTGTGTGGATCTCTGGTCTCCGTCCTTCATTTCTCACCGTCTTTCTCTCTTTCCTTTCACTAATGAAAAATGTTCAATGAAAAAAAAGTAAGTCCAAGTTCCAAAATTTTAGATAGAAAGTATTTACAATGAATTTAAGTTTTCCTATCAATCCTGACCCATGGCTACCAAATTCCCATCTCAACAGCAACTAGCTTCTGGTATGTCTTTGCCACACATTTGATGCTCTTATGTCTGCGTGGATGCACAGGTGTGCACACGTGCTCAGAACACACATCATACATGAGTAGACTTCTAGTGCCCTATGGGGTCTGTGTGGCCTCAGTGACACAGGAAGCACAAAGGCTGAAGCATGCACTTGACCCTGGCCTGACTCACCCCAGCCCACACAGCTGGCCCACACCACCCCATCTGTTGGCCATCATTTCCTCCGCTGGTCAGGTAGTAACCCATTTTGTTGCCTACTTCCAATTCATCCCAGCCACCAAGAAAGTAAGACAGTATCATTGTATTTTCTAAATCCGATGTGTCTTTTTAAATAAAAGAAAACTGTGCCTCGGAAGAGTTTCAAAATCGAGGTCTGTTCTGAAATGTTCAATAAAGTGGCAAAGTGCTGAAGGTGACAGGCATGTGGCACATGAGAGGTAAACAAAAGAAATCACAACAAAAACTATGCATAAGAAATGGGTGTCTGCTGAAGAGAAAAGAACACGAACATTTCCAATCCCCACCATTGTAGGGAGTGTAGAAATTCTCATTTTTCATCTCTTTAAAAGTGCCTGCTCTGTGTAATAATTTGATTGCACCCATACACTTTTCATTTTTCTTTATTCATTCAGCTCCTGCCCACTCCTGCCTGCTAGATGAGTCAGCCTTGACATCTTCTCAACAGGGCGATCCTGTACTTGTTGGGTTGATGTTCTGTTAATAGATTGGGCTACAGACTTCCTCCACTTTTTTTTTTTTTTTTGGGTACCAGGGATGGAACTAGGGAGAGACAGGGTCTCCCTGAGTTGCTTAGTGCCTCACAAAGTTTCTGAGGCTGGCTTTAAACTCAGGATCCTACTGCCTCAGTCAGGGTCTCACTAAGTTGCTGAGGGCCTCATTATATTTCTGAGCCTAGTCTCAAATTTGAGATCCTCCTGCCTCAGCCTCCAGAGCCACTAAGATTATGGGAGTGCACCATTTTTACTTTTTAACAGACATATCGACAAGGTAGGAAAAACGTTATATGAATGTGATATAGTTCAAGGAATACGCTGCAGAAACCCACTCATGCTCTTGGAGCTGGGAACTAACGTTCAGAATGGGGGAGGGAGAGGCTCAGACACAAATCCTCTTGCTTAGGAGGAGTTTTTCCAAATCACTGACTATAATTGGCCAGTATGCTCATTTTCTAACGGAGGTGTAAAACCCTTGTGAAGGTGCAGAACTTGTGTTTTGTTTTAAAAACAAAAGGGAAAGCTCTGGGGTTGAGGAAGGCAAGCACGTCCCACTGTCTGATGATCCGGGTGAGAGGCAGAGGTTACAGAGGCTGAGGGCCTGGAGTGGGAGGCCAGTTCTGCCCCAAATGGCTGTGATGCCTCCAGGGAGCCTTGGACGGCTTTGGAGCCTGCATCTTCTCATCTGAGAAGTGGGATTTCATCTCCCAAGATGCCATTTCAGATGGACCCTGCTTTCAACTGTGGACAATCCAGTAGAAATGTCAGAGATAACATGTCAAATTTCTTTCACTGTCTCTAAAAGCAGCAGGAAATCTTTGGTATCTTCAATATAGAACACTTAAGATGGAAGTCGTTCTTTCTCACGTGTCTGCTGGAGTTCTTAGTGAGGTAACTGGGCTGATGTCAAGGCAAACAGTGGGAGTGCTGAGGAAATAAGCCTCATTGTTAGAGCAAGCTACTACTCATACTCCAGAGCCATCTTGCGCCTCCTCGGTGGGCTGTTACACATCAGCTTAAGTCCAGAACAGCTCCGTTTGTTACTCTGGTAAAGGGAGGGAACTCACATTTATTGCTCTAGGTAAGGAAGGACTCGTGTGTGTGTGTGTGTGTGTGTGTGTGTGTGTGTGTAGTTCTGGGAATCAAACCCAGAATCTCATGCAAGTGCCCTACCAATAACATCCCAGTGAGAAGGATCAGAGTTTTTGTATCAACCTCAATCCTCAGATATGAGAGCAGAAGCCCGGCATGGTGGCTCTCATCTGTAATCCCAGAGACTTTGGAAGCTGAGGTAAGAGGATCACAAGTTCAAGGCCAGCCTGGGCAAGTTAAGGAGACCCTGACTCAAAATAAATTAAAAAAATAAAAAGCAATGTAGCTCAGTGTTAGAACAGCCCTGGTACATACAACAACAACCACCTCATCAACAACAACAACAAAAAACCAATCCCACCAGGTGCCTGTAATCCCAGCAGCTCTGGACACTGAGGCAGGAGAATCGAGAGTTCAAAGCCAGCCTCAGCAAAAGCAAAGTCCTAAGCAACTCAGTAAGACCCTATCACTAAATAAAATACAAAATAGGGCTGGGGATGTGGCTTAGTGGTTGAGTGCCTCTGAGTTCAATCCCCAGTACTCCCTCGTAAAAAAACAAAACAAAACAAAACAAAAATCCCAATATGAAAAAGAAAAAGAAAAAATAAAGCAAAGCTGGTAAATAGATCACATAAAAATATCACTCAAAAGAAGTTCTGTATGAACAACACCCTAAATAAGCAATGCCAATTTATACTGATTATTAGAAAGTGTGAATAAAGTATTCAGATGTATTTTTGCTGTGCTAGTTACCAGGGTCCATAAGGAAATATGCTTCATCATCACGTTCATTTGGAATAAGAGCTTGAAAGGCAACTTTGTGTGCAGGGAACACAATTGGCCCCTGAGAGATTAGCCTGGCTTCCTGCAAGAGGTATTGAAACAACTTTGCATATTTAAACACACCCACTGGTACACATCCTACAAAATATTACTAACACCCTTCTTCCAAAATGGGCTTCAGGCCTATCTGCTTCATTTTGTATTCTGATGGTATTTCCAAGAGACAAGGAGAGAGCGACAAAAAACTGTCTCATAGGTCATTTGTGTTGGAGCTGATCTTAATAAGCTTAGATTGTGTGAACTACTAAAGGGCTTAGGGTGTAGCTCTGGGGTAGAGCTCTTGCCTAGCATGTGTGAATCCCTGGGTTCAATTCCATGTTCTGAAAAAAAAAAGTATACTATGTAGAATGATTAAAGAAGTGATTCTCAACATGTTGGAGGTAGGAATAATAGCATTCATACATAAAGCATAATTTTACAAAGTAATTTCATACATATCCACTGGCTTTGTGTCTTAGTCTTTTTTGGGGTGGGGTGGGGAGGGTACTGGGGATTGAACTCAGGGCTCTGGACCACTGAGCCACATCCCTAACCCTATTTTGCATTTTTTTTAAAATTTTTTAATATTTATTTTTTAGTTCTCGGCGGGCACAACATCTTTGTTTGTATGTGGTGCTGAGGATCGAACCCGGGCCGCACGCATGCCAGGTGAGCGCGCTACCGCTTGAGCCACATCCCCAGCCCCCCTATTTTGTATTTTATTAGAGACAGTGTCACACTGAGTTGCTTAGCGCCTTGCTAAATTGCTGAGGCTGGCTCTGAACTCTCCAACTTCCTGCCTCCTCCTTCCAAGCCGCTGGGATTACAGGTGTGTGACACCGCGCCCACCCATGCCCAGCCATGCCTGGCTGTGCCTTAGTCTTCTTGGCTCTAAATCAGAAGTGATGATGATGATGATGATAATTAACTCAAGATGACCCAAGGAAATAAGTGCAGCTGGGCACAGTGGCACACATTTATAGTCCCTGTGACTTGGGTCAGGCTGAGGCAGGAAGATCACTTGAGCCCAAGAGCTCAGGGACCAGTCTGGAAAAAAACAGAGAGACTCAGTCTTAAAAAAAAAAAAAAAAAAGTATTGGAGAAAGTCAAATCTTACAGGTGCAAAGCCTGTGGCCTTACTTTCAACAAAATAAAAATTTTTTTCTAGCATGAAGGCAAACAGAGTTTTGCCAAGTTCTAGCACTTTCCAAGCACTCAATACATATCTATAAATGAATGATGAAAGGAAAGGAGAGAGAAAGAAAGGAAGGAATAAAAGAAAGAAGGATTGATTTGACCTAGGAGTCCTAGAGATTGCTTCCTAAATTTTGGGTTCATGGAATAGCATGAATTTCATCATAATAGACTATTCATCAATTCTTTCTCTTTAAGAAGCAACTTTGACACAGTGACAGCATTATTAGTACCAATAGATATGGCTGCTGTATCACTCTCAATTCCTTAAGAATGGCTTACTACAGTACTAAGAATAATAGTGCCATCTAGTGACACTTCTAGTTATCATCTCTAAAATTGCACATGACAACTTCTAAAAACAAATTCACTTAAGAGACTAAGCGTGCGACATGTGCAATCTGTGATCGTCACCATTTTTCTATCCAAGAAAACTTTTCTCTAAATTTCAGTCTATGATAAAATTTCACATCCTCATTCCGATTTCCCAGATGATGTTTTTATGGGGCCTCTTCACACCAGATTGTTCAGTAGTTTATGTGTTTGTATTTCAAAGACTACATGTTTCTTATATTTTAAGACATATCATTTTGAGGTGCAATATTGATATAACTATATGAGTATATTTCAGGAGACACTCTATTAAATGTACACATTGACTGCATTTAACTCAGAAAATAATACCTCAAGGTATGGTGCTTAGGTAAAGCAGAGGCAAGCAGAGGTCTTCCTTGTGGTCCCCTTGTATGCCTAAAGGGGACTCTAGGAAAGTTCACAGCACAGGAAAAGAGATTAAGTGTCCTTACGGAGCTCAGAGAGTTTTAGCCTCAGGCTCCCACCTATTTATCTCGTTATCTGCATACCAACATTTGTTCCCTTCACCCTCCCATTCCAGTTACTACCTCCAGTAGGAACCCCCATTCAGATTCCATATGAACTTGGATCATCTGGCCCTTCTGTGAGTCTTAAATTCTGTGAGGCTCCTATACTTGTGCACATAAACTTGTATAATTTTTCTCTTGTTGGTCTGTGTACTGACAATTTATCCCAGTGACTCAAATTATTGAACCTTCAAGAATAGAGGGAAAGTTTTAAATTGGAGGGCATCTCCATCAGGCTACAGGTACTAATTGTTTAATTAGGAAATGGTAGGCTTAATGAGAAGTGCCCTATCTTATGCAGAAAGCTTAGAAGCTATACTTTGCCTAGTTAGATAACTTTGAGCAAGTCAGGTAACGTCTCTAATTCATTATTCTTACTCATATGGGTTAATAAGGCCTACCTTATCCACTTCCTAGAGTTCTGAGAATGAAACACAATAATGAAGGCTTTAAAAACTGCTCTATAATGGTAAAAAGTTAGTGTTCTTATTTCCAATCATTTTCCTGAACAGGTTCTGGAGCTCAAGTGCCTGCGCCCATCTCTTACTTGTTAGTTGTGCAATCTGGAGAATCCACTTCTCTGCTCCTTGGTGCTTCATATGAAGAAGAGATATAATGAAAATACCTACCTCAAAGAGCTGTAGTGTATCATTTACATAGTAAATGCTCAGTACATTTTTAACTACTTGATTACATCCTCTTGAAGTCGCAAGGAGGACTTAAAAGTTTTTTTCCCTCTCTCCTTCTTTTCAATGTATTAGCTTAATTTTGTTCTCTGCCCATATGCAGCTCCATACCTTAATAACTAACTGTAGAATTAGTTAAAATGCAACCCCATTCCCAAGTTTTCTTAAATTCCCAGGTCCAGGATGCTCGGTGACCTCACAAGGGAGTTAAGATGCTCACACCCCACATTCCAGAAGTGATCATTTCTCAAGATTAATAAACCACCCTGGTGACCACCTGCCCAAGATCGAAATAACATTCTCACAAAAGGTGCTATGTAAATGCCATGATTTTATTCTCTTTTTGCAGGTAAATGGATGGTCTTGGAGAAAATAATGCTAAGTGAAGTTAGCCAATCACCCAAAAGCAAATGCCGAATGTTTTCTCTGATATAAGGTGACTGACCCATAATGGGATAGGGAGGGGGTGCATGCCTCTAAATAGGGCAGAGGGGTGGGAGGGGAGGGGAAGGGAAGGGGCAGGGGGTTAGCAATGATAGTGGAATGTGATGGACATCATTATCCAAAGTACATGTATGAAGACATGAATTGGTGTGAACATAGTTTATATACAGAGATATGAAAAATTGTGCTCTATATGTGTAATAAGAATTGTAATGCATTCCACTGTCATGTATTTAAAAAATAAAATCAATTAAAAAGAAGGTGCTATGTAAACCTTTTCTCCATGGTGCTGGGAAAGCTGGAGAATGTATTAGCTTCCCTACACCCAATTTGCCAGTTTGTTGTTAATCAAACCCTTTCTCGCCCCATTACTGTCTCTCCAGACACTGGCTCTTGTGGGTGGCAGCAGACCTGGACCTTTCAAGGTTACTCACATATACAATTATTGCTGCGATGGCCATGAAATGGATGATCTAGTTACCACTCTGCGGTTCTCAAAAAGAAAAAGGTATTAAAACAGAATTCTAATCAACATTGGAAATACTATTTATTGGACTATGAGGAGGAAGAAGGCCTTGGCCTAGGTGCCTAATAGTCCTGGGTCCCACAACACTATAGAATATAGATGAAACAATGTCAAGTAAAAACATCTAAGTATTTGTTTTTTTTATCTTGAACCCTTTCCCTACCTCAGTTAAGCAGAGCAATAGAATAAATGCAGTTACCAATGTGCCAGAAATGATAACAACGCAAAGGTGGAGGGGAGAAAAATGGGTAGGACAGGAGAGGCTTTTTAGTCATCTCCCCCATTCCCTGAGGCCAAGCTGTGCTCATCTCTTCAGGATGCCTGTGACAGTCCCCTAATTGGTCTTCTTGCTTCTACCTGTGCGCTTCCATTCTATACACAGCAGCAACATTGAGTTTTAAAAACATAATGCTTCTTCCCTACCTAAAGCCCCGTGGTTACCTACCTGGAGTCTGCAGCCAATACCACCCTGGAATACATAACATCCTAATGCTCTGCCCAGGCTCCTGCCACCCATGCCTTGGGAAGTGCTGTGCTGTCCCCTGTGAGTAAATAGCCTTGCACTGGTCACAAGGGGACCCCTTCTGGTCATTCAGATCTCAACTTCCGGAGGCCTTTCCTCACCACCTTCTGCTAGACATGTTCAGTTATTCTCTGCACCGTATTCATCTGATGTTTGATTGTCCATCTCTTGCTATAGAATTCCAGCCCCACAAGGGCAGCAGCCTCATGGGACCTGCTTCCAGGCTCTCAACTTACAACAGTGCCTGGCAGGTACAGGTGATTGGTAAATGGTGGTTTAAATGGTCAAGATTATCCCACTGTGTTTCCACATTTCCTCAAACACACCTCGATTCTTCATGGCCATTTTAAGCTAATTAGAAAAGGAAATCAGGTGTAGATTCTTGAACTTAAAGTGGAAATATCTTGTGGGCCATAAGGATTAGGTAATAAATATGGAAATGCATCTGAAATGGCAAGCACTCTGCCAAACCACCATAGTTGAACTGCTCCCTCATTTTTTAAAAATATTTTTTTTAGTTGTAGATAGACACAATATCTTTATTCTCTTATTTTTGTGTGGTGCTGAGGATCGAACCTAGTACCTCATACATTCAAGACAAACATTCTACCACTGAGCTACAGCCCCAGCCCCCTGCTCCTTCATTTTAAAGATGATAAAAAGTAAACACAAATTAATGATGGCAAGTGAATACAGGTTTGCCTACTGCACCAAGCTATAAAGCACAAATATTAAATAATATATAAATGTGCTAGGCATGGTGGTGCACACCTGTAATCCCAGCTACTCAGGAAACTGAGGCAGTACTGGAAGTTCAAATCCAGCTTGGACAACTTAGTGAGACCCTGGCTCAAAAAATAAAAAGGACTGGAGATGTAGCTCAGTGGTAGAATGCCCCTGGGTTCAATCCTCAGTACAAAATAAATAAATTATTGACTTTAAGAAGAGAAAATCCCAATACACTTTTAGGACACTTGTTGAACAATGTTGCCAAGCTTTTTTTAATGGATTTTTCCTTTTTAAAGTTTTCTCACATTCTTTAACCTTGAGGATTTTAAATGCACCCATAGTAGTCTGTTTTTCTATCCTTCACTTCATGAATTATATTCAAACCAAACATATAACAGCATGGCTTACAATTTCTTTTTTTTTTCAAATATTTTTCTTACTGGGTATTGAACCCAGGGTTTTGCGGATTTCAAGCATGGGTTCTACCTCTAAACTACACTCAGGCTCCTTATAATCTTTGTCTTCTTTTTTTTACCTGAGACATAATTTTCTGGAATCAGTTACCCCAAGATTATTTTTATTATTTATTTGTGGTACTGGGGATTAGACACAAGAGCACTAACTAATAAGCTACATCTCCAGTCTTTTTTTTTGAAGAGAGGGTCTCACTAGGTTACACAGACTGGCCTTGAGCTTGTGATCCTCCTGCCTTAGCCTTGAGAGTAGCTGGGATTACAGGAATGTACAACATGCTTGGTCCAAAGTTATTTTTTAAATTTCAACAATGTCTACAACAATTATAATGTAATGGCATTTGGGGCTTTTCATATAGTCAGCACCATGGTTCTAGCCCCATGAATTCTGGAATTAGGTGGCCTAGGAGGAACTGCGATGTTGACTTATGAGTAGTCATTCTGATCAATTACTCAATTTTTTTGAGCTTAGTCTCCCCACTTGAAACAGGAATAGAGGCTGGAGGGTGCAGCTCAGGGGTAGCATGAATGAGGCCTTGGTTCAGTCCCCAGTACCCTTCCATCCCAAATTCAGGGCTAATGACAATCTATCTTATAAGACTATTGGAAGGATTTAGTAAAAATCATATATATACAATGCTCATACAGAATAAATCTTCAATAACAACTACTCATTTCTTCAGAATTGTGCCTCATTTTATAATCTCAAATATTTAATGCTATTCCAGAAATATTCTATATTTATCATTTGATAGCTTAAAGATGATTTATTAAAACCATGACTAAAACAAAGGCATAACTAGTTTTTTACTGCATAATAATGTTAAATAGTTAAAAGTTCTGAAGAACACTGTCCCACATAGATGAAAAAAATCAATTTTTTCATGAGATTTAAATTGTTGGAAACCTGAGAAAAGGACTACCCCCAACTACCAATCATTTGTTTAACTTGCCATTATATTCCATTTGAGTCAGCATAATCTTTATTTCAAAATAGCATTTTTATTATATAAAAATGTAAAAATCCAGCAAAACCAGAAATACGGATATATTTTCCTGGGCTTTCACATTTGTTGATTTTTATTCGCAATTTCTTTTTCAACACAATTTACAACCTCATCCCCATTTCCAATCTGATTATACAAGTGCTAAGTGGCAAAAAGGTCTGGAATAAATACATCAAAGGAAAAAAAAAGCAAAGCTGTGAAACTAAGTTGCATGCAACAGGTTTTATGAGGGTGGGGAAAGTATCTGAGAAATAAAATAGAGAAAGATAATGTAATTGGAAGATTTTAGCTATAGTTCTTTCAATCATCTTTGTCTTTTGCTCCGTGTTTAAGGATGCGCGTGAACTCGATGTAATTGAAATTCCCCTTTTTGTCAATAGGGGCTTCTCTGTACAGCTCATCCACTTCCTCATCTGTAAACCGATCACCCATGGTGGTCAGCAGCTCCCTCAGGTAATCCTCCTGAATGGTGCCTATAAGGCAATAGAAAGAAGGAACTCATGAACATTCATCACACTTGAATGGTTCATTTCTTTTTGTTTTGTTTTTGGTATCATGGATTGAACCCAGGGGTACTTAACCACTGGGTCACATCCTCAGCTCTTTTTATTTTGAGACAAGGTCTCACTAAGTTGCAAGTTGCTGAGGCTGGCTTTGAAGTCACTCCTGAGACACTGGGATTACAGCTGTGCACTATCCTTCCTGGCTTAAACGGTTCATTTCTAAATCAAGTCAATCTTACAAAATATTTCAGAATATCCATCATTTACATGAACAAAATAAATTAGCAAACTAAAGTTTATATACGTAACCATGTCACTGCTTTCCAATTACTTTTGGAGTTCTTTATTAATATTAGATTAACTTGGGCTGGGGATATAGCTCAGTTGGTAGAATGCTTGCCTTATATGCACAAGGCCCTGGGTTCAATCCCCAGCACCACTAAAAAAAAAAAAAAAAATTAGATTAACTCATTTAAAAAACTTAGAAATAGATTATTGTGTTTATAAAGTTAATGTTAAGCAAGTATTATCTGGAGGTTAAAAATAAATCAACTTTCTATTTTAGAGATAAAGTAAAAAAACAAAACAAAAAACCAACCAAGCAACAAACAAACAACAACAACAATAAAACAGGTGGCTGCGCAAAACAATAGGTGCGCTGCTAAGAGCAAATGTGAGGAAGGACTTGACACATGGAGGTGGGGAAAAGAGCAGCGAGGGAGGGCTGCAGTGATGGTTAATGAGAGGAAGAAAAGTGAATAGTTAGGTTTTTATGCATTAAAAACTACATTTTTTCCCAGGTGCATTAAAATGAAGACACAGACAAAACAAAGCAAAATCCTAAGAAAAAGCCAGAAAAACAAAACTAAGACTTTAATTGTTCTGTTAACTATGCTTTTTAGTGAGATTGAATATATACTGGAGAGTAGTTTTCACTATTTAAAAAAATACTAGCTAATAGACCACAACTCTCCCTTTGGTTTTTAGGAAGCTCAGAGTCGAATTCAAAGATTAATAATACACAACTTTTTTCTTCTTTCTTAGCCATCTCTATTGTTTTGTCCTACTATAAACAATAGTTTCTGTTCATTCATTTTTAAAAAATGTTATTTTACTGATTTTTTTCCCCATTTTCAGGTACCATAAATGAGACTAGGTGTAAAGAAACAAAAAGCACTCACCTGTTGCTTCTTCATCAAAGCAAGCAAAAGCATTTCTAATGACATCTTCGGGATCTGTGCCATTTAACTTCTCACCAAACATGGTGAGGAACATGGTGAAATTGATGGGTCCTGGAGCCTCATTCATCATGGCATCCAGGTAGGCATCAGTGGGATTCTTCCCTGCAAGAATTCACAGTTGAACATGTGAGGACAAAGAGCTAATTTCAATAAACATTTTTCTATTGTTATGCTTCCCAACATTACATCATCATTACTTGAAAGTAGTTTTTCAATTAATGTTCATTAAGAACATTATGAGGTGCTGAATATATAGCTTAGTGGAAGAATGGCCTGCTTATTAGCATGCAGAAGGCTTTCTGTTGGGTCTGCACAGAAAAGAGCCCAAAATGGAAACAAACAGAACATTTTAAAAAGATAATCTTTGACAACTTAAAAAAATCTTTGATACATCATTATGAAAATGCATTCTGGAGACTCAGGGTGTAAGAGTGCTTGCCTAGCAAGCATTGGGTTTAATCTCCAGCACTGTAAAAATCAAAACAACAACCCCACCACCAAAAAATCCTATTCTGGGCTTAGGCTGAAAGTTGTTCATTCATTAATACTTTATGCCTCCTCTTTTCCCTACTTTTAATTAAAAGCTGAACAATAACAAAAACCTGAAACAATAAACCAGGAAATGCCACATTATTACATCTTAAATATTGATAATATTAAAGGTCCATCAGGAATCATTTCCATACCAGTTATCCAAAATATGTAAATATTAATGTTTTTAGTTGTAAATGTAAATACTAAAGTTTTAGTTATTAGTTGGCCTTTTAAGTTAAAACTATTAGGTTGGCTTGGAATTGGGAGCTTATTTTGAACAATGTTCAATAAACAGATATCCTTAAGTGTTCTTCACACATGTTGCTGAACTACAGTTGTGTTAATATTGTTCATAAATCTTCATCTCAGTTCCAACTGAGAATACTCCCTGTTTTAGAATAATGGTGAGAGATCTCTGGATCCTCCCATAGGAGTTAGGAAATATCCCCTGGAATGTGCAGTCAAGATGAGAATATCTGTGAGACCCTGCAGTGCAGGCAAAACAGCTCTAAATGAAGGGTCTAGATGGGCTGGGGCTCAGTGGTAGAGCACTTGCCTAGCATTTGTGAGGCCCTGGATTCGATTCTTACACCACATATAAATAAATAAAATAAAGGCATCCATTGAAAACTAAAAAAAAATATTTAAAAAAGAAAAAAAAAATAGAATACTAGGTTTGAATCCCAGTTCTACTGACACTGAGGGAGGTGGTAGAGCTGGGATTCAAATCCAGTATTCCGGATCCTGCATTCAGTGCCATGGGCATCTTTGTTTCCCATCTGTAAAATAAGAACTCATTGAAATTGGTATCTCAAAGGTCCCTTTCAACATTAAGTTTTTATGATTCTACATAAAAGGAACATCTGTTAGAGATTCGTATCTAAGGAAGCATCTCAAAATTACAATGAACTAAATACTAATGATACCCAAATCTAGAATTATAGTCCACATGTAAATTTCAAATCCTGGGAATTTGGGGTGACATTTAAATACCATGCTGACATCTATGTCACTGTACTAAAATCTTACCTCATCACACCTACTCAGCATACCTCTGAAAAAGATTCACTGAATAAGTGAAAGTAGTTGAAAACATCTACTTTTCTATTTGTAGATTAAACTCTATCTCTTATAGCACTGTGTGTGTGTGTGTGTGTGTGTGTGTTGGGGTGGGGACAACACATAGGTGTCAAGTAAACTCTAGGGTAAAAAAGACAAAGGAATTTAAAATGGATTATTTAAGCTAAGCACCTATGAACTCATTCAAGACATCCCATATAACTTGTTGATCTGAAAGGCAAATACATATATTTAAAGGTTTTCCCCAATCAGAAGGATGCAAAGTCTCTTCTTACTCTTATCTACTACCACCTGTCCATTCAACCAACATTTATGGAGCATTTACTGTGAGTGGGGAATGGACATGTGTATTCAATCCTTGGAATCAATAAAGCTAAGTCCTTCAATTTTTCCTCAGTGGCCTTCTTCAGTAATGACTTGCCAAAAAAGTAAACTCACTTAGCTACTCTGAATGTGAAAGACCCTGGGATATAAGCTACCTGGCAAGTCAACAAATCAATATCTTGAATCTACTCTCAGTTTGGATAAAGGAAAATACTGAAAAATGTTCACAACTGGGGAACATAGAAGAAAGATATATGGTGTTCACTGTGCTATTAACTTTTTGTGAGCTTGACAATTTTCAAAGTAGTATGTTAGGAAAAAAAAAAAAGGTAGAGGAACAAACACTAGCCAAGCATTTTTGTGGACACCAAAAGAAAAAAACCGACCTTTTTCTTTGCCCTTTGGCCCTTCAGTTGCCCTTTCTGGTTAGCCAGGCAAGCAGAAGTACACAGCCTCTTTGCAGGACCCCTGACCTACACTTCTAGCCATGCCCTCGCCCCATGCTTCGGCCTATCAAGAACTCATCTGTTTGCTGCTTGCTGTTTTACTTCAAACTGTAAAATCACTGCTGATTCTAGGCAGAATATGTCGGATTTCCACTTCTTTTCATCTATTAAAAATCAGTCCAAACAGCAACAAAAATAATACAAAAAATAAAAAATACCTACAAATTCAAAATAACAAATGGCAGTTTATATACACATTAAATCTTCTATCTTCATATTTTAATTATTAAAAAACAATAAATTATAAAAACCATTCATTATAAAAAAACATAAATAAGCAGGGTGTGGTGTGTCATCCCAGCAACTCAGGAGACCTAAGTAGGAGGATCGCAAGTTCGAGGCCAACCCCAGCAATTTAGTGTGGTCCTAAGCAACTTAGTGACCTTGTCTCAAAATAAAAAATAAAAAAAGGGCTGGGGATATGGCTTAAGCACCCCTGAGTTCAATACCTGGCACAAAAAAAAAAAGAAAAAAAGAAAAAAAAAAATATCTCATACATATATGTTGTAAAAGTTGGGGTGAGCACAGGGGCACATACCTGTAATCCCAGTGGCTAGGGAGGCTGAGGCAGGAGGATTGCAAGTTCAAAGCCAGCCTCAGCAAAAGCAAAGTGCTAAGCAACTCAGTGAAACTCTTGTCTCTAAATAAAACACAAAATAGGGCTGGAGATGTGGCTTAGTGGTGTGTGTGTGTGTGTGTGTGTGTGTATGTGTACACACACACACACACATACACATAGAGAGAGAGAGTGTGCAAAAGTCCCCTTCCCTGTATTTCCTTTTTTTTTTCCCCTGTATTTCCTTTCCCTGTTATACTACCCATCTTCCCCAAGACAAACCATTATCACTCACAATCATCAATTCTTATTTACCTGTCCTCAACTTTAATTAACCTTATTATACTCTATGATTAGCCATACTTATTATTTGTAATTCTGGCTCTCAGCCTAAGAGACATGAAGTATTTAACTAATGGGAACATAAGCCTACCTGCCAGATCCCCACACCTGTCAAGCTATCCCCTCATGCCTGACCCACCCCAATATGGCACCTTCCATACCCAGAAACCTCTCCAGAGGTCTTTAGAAACAGAGTAATATGTATATCATGTTTAAAAAAATTCATAAAGAATGGAATTATTTTTTAACAATATCATATAAAGAATATAAATTACCCAGCGAGGCAAGCATATCATGCAGATCTTCCTTGTCAATGAAACCATCTCTGTTCTGGTCAATCATGTTGAAGGCCTCTTTGAATTCCTGAATCTGTGATTGGTCAAACATGGCGAACACATTGGATGTTGCGCGCTGAGGGCGCTTCTTGGTGGTCTTGGTCTTTGCCTTTTTGCTCGACATGGTGGCTGTTTAATTCTAGGTTTAAAAACAAAAAAGAATGCATATGATGTATGGCCAGAAGATAACACATTACATCTAAAGTCAGCAAGTAAAAAACACCTTAATATAGAATTATTACCTCAACTGTGCAGGAATTAAGTAATATCTAAACATTATCTTCAATGTAACAATTAAGTGGCTGAAAAAAAAATCAGAGTTTTTAAAAATTAAGAAACAGAATAGAAATGATTGATGTACTTTCCACCAAATTTCACAGGACCAATTTTTATTAAGTTGGAATTAATTTAAAATTTAATTTAGCTATATGTAATAATAGCTAGCATTTACTGAGTACTTATTATATGCCAACCACTGTTTTGAAGGTCTAAGGATGCCCCACAGAGAAAAGCTCTAAAAATGACCTCTTCCTCTCACAAGTTTGTCCCATTTAATCCTCACAACAAAGAAATGCAGTATTATTATTTCCATTTTACTACCAAGATAACATAACTTCTCTGAGCTTCAGTTTTTTTGGTGGTTGTTATTTTTCCCCCAGTACTAGAGATTGAACACAGGGGTGCTTTACTAATAAGCTATGCCCCCAGCCATTTTTAATTTTTTACTTTCAGAGAGGGTCTTGCCATTTGCTGAGGCTGGCCTCAAACTTATGATTTTTCCTGCATTAGCCTCCCAGATTGCTGGGTTTACAGGCATGCACCACTGAGTCCAACAGGTATCTACTGTAATGCAAGGGAAGAACTAAATGAGATAAAGTATGTAAAGAGACTCACATAGTTAGCATGTAGTATATGTTCAAAAAGCGCTCATCTTTAAAAAATATGATATAAAAAACCCTATTCTATATTGTACCCCTTCTAGCTAGATATGCATTTCCTCTTTCCCTTGACAAAACTCTCAGAACAGCAAATTAATACTCAACTGTCTCCATCTCCTCATCTTCCCAAACACTCCTAGATCCTCTGTAAATGGCTTTGGTGCTAGCCTCCAACACTCTACTGAAAGCCATCACTAATTTAACTGTCAAAGAGATGACATTTTTTATTTATAGTTTAAAAGAATGTAAATAAATAGAGTCATGCACATATGACAACTTTTCAGTCAATGATGACTGCATCTGATGGAACATACTACTTAGCCTGAGTGCACAGGCTGTATCATCTAGTTTTGTACATTCTATGATGTTTGCAGTGACAAAACTGCCCAACTACATATCTCTCAAAACATATCACCAACAAGGTGACTTACAATGTAAGGTGATTCTAAAACAAACCAAAACAAAAATATTATCAGTTTTGGAGAAGGAAATCTGAATTCAAATAACAGCTCCACCCTTACTAGTGTCATTAACTTCTAAAAACCCACAAACATCTGAGTAATTT